GTGACCTTTCTCTGAGTCATCTGAGGAAGGCAGATACTCCCGATTTGGAAGTATCATCTTCTTTTTACTGAGCATCTTTCGAGCCATTTTTCTCTTCCTATTCGCACGGATGGTTTGAAATTGGATGACTCGGTAGGTTCTTTCATGGTGTGCTGTGGCTCGGTAGTTGCTCACAGGATCCTCTCTACAGTTTCTGTGTTCACTGCCAAGTTGTATGCTATTTCTCTTGCCCTGGATCATGTAGAAGCTATGCAGTACAGTAATTGTACTATTTACACTGATTCTCTTAGCTCTCTACTGGCCCTGGAATCACTTAACGTTAGTTCTCGCCCTGTTCTTGTCGATATTCAACACCGATTGGCCCACTTTTCTCTATCTTCTGTTTCCATCCAGTTTTTCTGGATCCCTCGCCACGTCGGTATTCACAGGAATGAGCTTGCTGACACCGCAGCTAAGTCCGTCTGCTCTGGTGCCATCACGTCCATGCCTGTCCCATACATGGACTGCGGTCCTGTGTTTAAGGCACGGCTTCGCGCCAGATGCCATTCGACTTGGGGTGAGCAATGTCATAACAAGCTTTTCCAGATCAAGCCTACTGTTGGTCTTTGGCTGTCTTGATTCCGTAAGGACTGGAAGGAGGAAGTAGTCCTGGCAAGGCTATGCATTGGTCACAGTTTTTTAACCCATCGTTTTCTTTTATCAGGTATTGATCCACCGATGTGTAGCCATTGTGACACTTAAGTCACAGTAGCCCACATATTACTGTCCTGCCGTAGTTACGATCGTGAGCGGCGGCATTATTTTAAACACATATTTTCTAAGAGTTTACTTCTGACGTTGGACAGTGTCATTGGTAATGGTGACACTGTCCGATTAGATTGTATTTTTAATTTTTTATGCACTATAGGTCTTTTTAATTGTATATATATATCTTATATCGATATATATCGGTTTTAACTCATTGTATTTTTACATTTTACTTTAATTTACTTTCACTGTTTTTACTGGTTGTTTGGCACAGATAACCTCGTTGCTTTGTGGCATGAATAACCAAACAACAACAACCATCTTCTCCTTATGGTTAGCCTCTTTTCTGGCTTGTTTCATTTGCCCTTCCTACATGGAAGTTTCTCAATGCAAATGGAATTTTTCTATCCGTTGGTTTCAACCCACTGTTCTTCATCATGTGGATTTCCTCTCTTGACATTTGAATCAGGGGTCTTCTGTCTCCTTGGTCTCGGGTTTTTGGGCAGTCCTATCCCACACCTTTCAGTTTTCCCAATCCTGCAGATCTACTGTCTCAGGACATTGTTGTTCCTCTGAATTCTCCATCTCATTTTACCCCCTCCCCTTTTCCTCTAGTGGAGTTTGAGAGTCCTTACCACTTTCCAGTTCCAAGCCACTTGGGGTGGTGGACTTGGAGGCATCCTCTGAATATAGAAAAATTATAAAATGAGTTGACAGTAGGGCAGTGGTGTTCTGCTGGTGTAGATATCCTCCAGTATGAAACATAAAAATAAATGAGAGTGAGACATAAAAATTGCAGTTCACCTCTTTGATTGGGATCTCTTATCCTACCCCCACGTGGATGTCGGTTCCTAGTAGCCAGGTTTTGGATTTAGAGTAGAATCAATCAACGTAAGTTCTCACATATGTATTACAGATGTCTATATTCCTCTCTCATTTATATTCCATAAGTGTTGTGGATCATGGTAGAGGTAATTGTAGATTGTTATGGTTCTTTCCCTTCCACTGCACTTCCATGTTCCTTATTCCAAGGATGTTAATGCTCTTGGGGTGGTTCCGGGGAATTTCACTTTTCAGGTAGATGATTTACATTATGTAGACATCTTTTTGATACCAGATGTCGGGTTCCTTGATTGAGCTATCGATTTATCATATTCACATGTGCCCCATTTATGAGTTGGTGGGTACTAGATTCCCTCTGGTCCCATAAATTTGAAGTTAAAATGGTATGAACCTCTTTCCTACCCCTGCCAGATGGTCGGGTTTTGGATTGTAGTTGACTTGCCACCGGTATGATCCTCTTTCCTACCCCTACAGGGATGTTGGTTCCAAGTGGTCTGGGTTTTGGATTGTAGTCAACTTGCTGGTGGTATGATTCTTTTTCCTATCCCCGTATGGATGTTAGTACCCAGTGGCCATGTTTTGGGTTGTAGTGGACATACTGATGGTATGATCCTTATCCTACCCCCGTGTGGATATTGATTCCCAGCGGCAAAGGATTTGGATGTAGTTGACTTGCCATGCACGGTCCATCGTGCCCTAGCCACTGTACACCTAGGAGTACATCCTTTTAATTTTACCCACTTCTATAATTTCTGGAATTGAGTTTCATAAATATTGCATAGTTCGGATCACTTTCCAGCCATGGTTCTCTCTCAGTTGGATGTGCTCCTCTGTTTTCCAGTGATATATGCGACATCTTTCTACAATGGGCGAAGAGTATACCTGGTTCAGAAGTGATGCAGTTCCCAACATCAGATCTTAGGATCTGACTGTCTCATCTTATGGAGTGTCCTTAGGTCACTTTCGAAGGATGCGTCTTTCTTTCCCTCGTACTGGACCCTCCACCTATTCAGTGTGGGATTCTAGCTATTTATTTGAGAAGAGGTAATGTACCGTATCGGAAGTTATAATTTTCCTCCACTGAAAATGTATTTCTGACTGGTTCTTCCATCCTCTAACAAAATTCAAAGTGATAGTTCAGTAAGTGTTGCACTCTTATTGGTGGAGGGTTGACGCATGATGACTTGTATGAGACACACATTGGAATCGGTCAATAACTATTTATGTGAGAGGAGTTAAGTACCTATTGGACATACATTTTCAGTGTAAGAAAATTATAACTTTTATCATTATTTTTCTGTGTTGTTTGCCTTGCACCAAAGAAAATTTTAATTCAAGTGTTTTATCATTTCCTTTTCATTGACAATGGTAGTAAAATATTTAATATTTCTTTAAATTGATAAATTTTCTGTTTTGTTTTTCATTAGACATACATGTAAATTACTGGGTTACATACATGCATTTTTCATAGACTGGAGTAGAAATATGAAGGGGGACATAGTAGCCAAAAAGCAAATTTTCTGAGCATCAGGTAGAATTGCTAAATAGCTTTCTTGTTAAATATATGTGTAACAGATAATGAGCAACTCCAGTGCAATTTTAATGGTTTGAAATTCGTTTGAAATATTATTGTGAAATTAAAAAAAGCTAATAAATTTTTGGTAGTAACTTCCTTTGAGGAAATCTTATTTTTATTTTTACCAGATGCTGGTTCGTGGAGTGAAAGGAGCAATAGATCTTATCCGCACAGCACTGCCTAGTCTTCCATCAGACTTCATTGAAAACATTCATGTGCCTGATATTGTGGGGGATAAATGTGGGCATTCCAAGTCCTTGTTGCCAGTTTTTGGAAGATCACGAATGGAAGAACGTCATTTAGATATTGAATTTCAGTACAGCAAAGAAAAGGTGAGTTTATCATAAGTTTTTACATATATCAGTTGTTTTTGTTTTGCTATTTTTTTATTGATACTCAAAAAATGTTTATTAAAGTAAAAAAATTTTCATGCAAAATAGAATGTGAATAATTTCAACTTCTACATCAGAAGTTTCAGAAATTTTGGCTCACCTCTCTGCACAGCAAAGAGCTGTTACTTTGGGCCACTGCTATAAAGATTTTTACACATGTCACAAGCCTTGAATGAAGCCCCACCTCTACATGTACCAACATCATCATTAGACTACAGCCATCCACCAATAGGAATGGAACACATCCTCAAACACCAACATTTCTGTGAAAACTTGTATTTAAACAAAAACTTATTCTTTTTTTAGCACTACTTTGTTCAGATGTTTTATTTTATTAGGAATTAACTTTTGTTACCATTTGTTGTGTAGTTTTTCTTTTGTTAATTTACTTGATTATGAAACAAAAGGATAGCAAATTTTAAACATTTGAGTTAGAAATTTGGCACGAAATTAAATTTGTAATTTTGGGATGAGTGTCCTATTGTATGTGAAAAGGTTTTTTGGACACTATTATTTCTCCCTTTTGTTTTTTTATTGCAACATATGAATATTGTTAATCATTTTTCAATATCATCATTAGTTCAGTGATCTAGGTCTAGACACCGTTGTCATACCATGCTGATTTTTATTTCTAAAAAAGTTGGTTTTGTCTTTAGACTTTTGGAGTTGCCTCTCGTCCTGTTCCTACTACCCAATATCCTATTATGTGAGGGCTGGCATTCTTGGGTATATGAGGTGACTTGTTTCTAGAGCTGTTCTTTTGCTCTTGTATAATGAGAGCTCTGCTTTTTCATTTTTTACACCCATGGAATTCCCTTTCTGCAGTCTAATGTATTACTCAGGTGCTTCCTCATGGGTTTTTTTCCCCTGCCTTTCCACTTTTAATCTCATCTGATTGGAATGCCATACAACAATTCCTGCCCCACATTGGGGTTTTACTTCTGTATTTTTGTTGATCCCACAAATAATGGAGTTCAGCATACTTTCATAGATCTGACCCATTTGAACAAACTTTAGTCTTTCCTTAGTTCAAAATGGTCAATTTTTTCACTATGCATTGCATGCTCTCCCAGATTATGGAGGACACGGATTGAGGGCTCAGATGCTTTATCCTCATCCCAGTTGTCTATCTTTCTTTCTCCTCCTTCAGTGTGTCCATAATGGCTGAACATTGGATTCACAGCAGTCTTCAAGTTGGTTAAGACTGTATTATTTTTCATTTTGTTGGGTGAACTCAGAAATTACATTACTGAAGCTTGCTGTTCCACTGTTGTCTGGATGTTTAGCCTCTACTTGCCCCAGTCAATGTGGTTTTCACTGTTGCAAACCCCTTGATCCCCCTCCCACCCTATATCTCATTCACTAGGGGGTTCTTTCTCAATTTGTATGCAGGGCAGGCTTAGTCTACTCCTCTACATCTTTGAGACATGAAGCTTCTGAGACCAAGATTTTCTTGTCTCTTACATTCCTGCACAAAAACATTTGGTACTTTTGGAAATTCTCTCTCTCTTCTCTTAAGTCCTTTGTTCCTCTCTTCAGTGGAATCTGGTCAATCAATGATGGTATATCAAGAGATCCACTGACTTCTTTTCACCTCTCACTGTCATTGTGGCTCACTCAATCCCACACAATCCTGGATATATTGACTTGCATCTGTTTGGAGTAACTCAGCGCTCAGTGATAAGTCTGAGGGCTTATAATGCTCACTAGTGTAGATTTTCATAACTGTGGTGAGCACAGCTTAGGTGGCGCTTTGTTGAGTTTTGTGCTTGATGCCAAACCTGCAAACACTACCTCGCAACCAATGCCTCTAGTCAGGTTGGTTGCAATTCTGGACAAGTGACTGATTTATGGAGTGTCGTCTCTAAAGGAGCAACTTCTCTATACCTCTGGCATCCTGAATATGTTGGCTGCTCAGCAAGCTTGCCACCATATTCTGTCTCATCTTTCTGGTCTTCTTATTGTGATCCATTCATCAACAGGGAGGCATTTGCTTTCATGACATCTGTTTTTCTTGCTCTAGATTGTTTTTAGGCCCACAACCATCATTTTTGTTTGTTGGACTTTCAGGTCTTGGTAGCTTTGACCCTAGTAGTGGATTGACTATCACACCTAGACTGCATCCGTCCTACAAAGTGGTCTCTCCATCCTCTGGTATTTTCAGCAGATTTGCTACCAATATTGAAATCCTATCATTGTTGCCTTTCTAACTTCTCTCAATGCCTATCTTTCACTCTTTTGGTCTTCAATCACAGACTTTACAGCTCTGGCAGAAGAAGCTTGTGTCTAGGGTGGTTCAATATTTTTCTTATATGCTTCAGACATTATTTTCTTTTCCTTTTTACTTGCAGTAGCTGTCACTTCTACTCTTTTGCCTTGGATGCATCCCACACTATTTACCACAGATTAATTTCTTTCCTGACCATTCCTTCCTTTCCTAAACTTGGGCTGTTTGGGAAGGTGATTGATTGTTTTTTCTAATCCACCTTTCTTCCCTGTGTGATCACCCCAACTCATTGTCTCCTTTGTTCCGTAGGGGTTGTTCATTGTCATCTCACTTGTACTGCTTGGTATCTTGCCATGGGAATCTTCTTCTTTTAGTAACCTATCATATTTCTCTCTGACTGATTGGGTCATATACCATATCTGACTAGTTCATTTTTCTATGGGTGATGACACTTTTCTTATTTTTCATGTCACCTCCCATCAAATTTGTCATTTGTCTGCTTCTCTTATCTTGAGCTATCAGCAACCCCTTTATGAAATAGCAGGTAGGAATATGGATGACCCAACACATTAGTGTCACATTATTTAAACCATATAAAGTTTTTGTCTCCCTTTGTCATTTTCCAGTCTTTTCTAAAGACACCATCAAGGTGATAGTTAACTATTTTGTTTACTGTGTTGTATTACAACTCCCATATTGCCATTATTTTCATATCTCAATGTATATATACTAGAGATGATAGAACCCACCAAGTGGCAGATGATGCTCTCTGGGACCTCTCTGGGAATACTTCTCTTTCACATACTGAAGGTGAGGAGGGGGGACAGAAAACATAATGCCCATCTGTTCTTATTTGTGAATGCTGTTGAGATGGGGTTTTCCAGGAGACTTCCCTGATAATTTCTATTTATTTCCTAGGTTGTACCTCACATGAGAAAAAACAAAACAAAAAAGAAATGGCAACATCAGTTGCTTGCCCTAACATCTGGCTAGCACCTCAGATCCTTAGTTGTGGTAATTTATTGCAAAGTCTATCACTGTAGGACTTTCTGCAGATGTGATGTTTCCTGCTCTGTCCAAACTCCTTTTCAGCCTCTCCCCCATGTGTATTCCTCCTTCCCATTTTCTTCTAGAGATTTAAGGAAGAACCCTTACCTCCCCAGCCTCAATCCACTGAGGAGATTGATAGTTAGAGTTCCCCTTTAGGTCAGTGTAATCCCATTGATATGACACTGAGTATATTCACTTCTTGGTGGAAAGTAGGGATGGGATGTTAACTGGAAGGGTAATACAGGCCTCCTTACTAAATTATGAACCAGGCCATTCCTGATAGTTAGACCAGCTGTATGGGTCTTGTGTTATCTTTGGAATGCAGGTCTGGGATATTTCTCCCTGCATCTGATTATTTTGGCAAGTGTCTTACTTAAGTATTTCTCCAGTATAGAATGGCCTGACTTATTGGTCTATCAATACTACACACCCACATTCAGCTTACCACCTGTGATGTAATGACTGGTAGAGCAATCTTACATTCTGCACACCTATGCAACAATAGTACCTAGCAAAAGATTATTTTGAAAATATTATTTGTTGTACCACTTTTTTTATTTCCCCCCTGCCACTCCTTGTGGGTAACACACTTTATGGGATTTTCCCCTTCTGATGTTTTATTTTCAGAAAGGATCTTGCTCCATCTTTGTAATTTCATTATCTGCACAGGCCCTCCATCATTTGGGATTCTAGCTCTTTATTGTGCATAGAAGTGGGTAAAACTTTTTTTGGAAGTTAGCATTTATTTCATGTATTTCAGATAGATACCTCTCTGCATAACCTTCTACCCATCCTCCCCACTTTGGTATTTTTATTTTGCCTTGTTAAGAATGAGCTTTTGTTGAAATGCCAGTGCTTATGAGGAATACTGAGCATGGAGAATGTGTCACCTTTCTATAGGTGGAGGGCTATAGTCCAATGGTGATTACATCACAGGGTGGTTCAATACGTATTGATACGTATCAAGATGAGAGCTTTGTTCAAGGCTTTGGCATGTGTAAAAATCTTATTAGCAGTGGTGAGAGGTAATAGCTCTTTGTTGTGAATAGGTGAGTATCTTTGTGAAATATATTTTGAGGGAAGGAAAATATTAACATTAACCTTACTGGTAGAAGTAAAGAATTTTATGTACTTATCAAAACTTTTTTATTTTTTATTATTATTATTACAAAAATGCTATATTTTTAACTAACTAGAACAATATCATTTTTAACTTATTGTTTATTTAAATAGAATATACTTAATAAAACATTGATAGATTTAACTTATTTTTTAGTTTTAGTTTTTAATTATTTTATATTTTAGTGGTTAACCTTATGTCAACAGGGTTTGAGTCCATTCTACTGATCCCATATCTGTGAAGCTGTACATAGTAGGGATGCACGTGTACCAGGCCAGATATTCGGTCTTGGCCGGTTATTGTGTTACCCAGTAATACTCGGCCCTGGCCGAGTGTCAAAGTTTAAAACAGCTGAATCCAGTTTATTGAAAATGGCATCTAAGCCCTAATCTTTGTTGCACATTATGTGGTACTGAAAGTTACAGTCAATAATTGGTTTAATTAAAAAACATGTTCCAAGCAACAAAGACTGACCGCCTGCTGAGAGTTGGGGATTCAGAGAACAATAGCAGTTAATAACAGGCATGGCTTGAGAAGTGGATT